GATGATTTCTCGCTTTCTGTCGCTCTGGTGAGAGCACATACCCTATAGCAAAACCCTCTCAAAAAAAAAAAAAAAACTATAGGGACCAGTAGTTAGTGTATGTAATGGCTATGTCACTGGACTCCCATGTAATCAACCGCAGTTCGTGTCCCGGACCCGGTGGCTTAAAACTCACACCGGGCGCATGTGTGTGCGTGCCCAAGATCCTGAGAGGAGAATGAAAGAGAAGGGACTGCGGCGTGGCCATCCCCCCTGGGGAGTGATTTCTCGCTGTCTGTCTGTCTCTGTCTGTCTGGCGAGCGCACGTGCCTATAGCAAAAACCTCTCCAAAAAAAAACCCAAACAAACTATAGAAACTAGCTAGGCAAAGGAGGGGTTTAAGGCCTGTTGTGATTTAGGACAGCATCCCCTTTCACTTTCTTTTTTTTTTTTTTAATTACTTATTTAATTTTATTTATTTGGCCACAGAGAGGGAAAGTGAGAAAGCAAGCCACCAGGTTGAGGACTCAGCTGCAGTTGATCAGGTCAGAGTCCAGCACCTTAACCACCATGCCACCTGCTGGTCCTCCCCTTTCACTTTGGAAAGTGCTGCTTGGCTGCTAATCACCTGAAGAGATAAAAAGTAAACAGTAAGGTCCTCCAGCATTTAGGACTGCAGATACATCTAGTTATGATGTAACTAAACTGTGTGTGTTGGTTAGTGGTGGTGGTGGTGGTGGTAGAGGGGTGGTTAAAAATAACGGTTAATGAGGCCTAGGCATAAGCAGAGGGCTTTAGAGCAATACTCACTCTGGGTTTTATCCTCAGGGCATCAGACAGGAAATCGATCAGATTTGCAAAAGAAAGAACTCTCAGAAGAATTGGGAAACTCAGTAAACTTATTTGGAGCACAAAAGACAAAGAGGCATCTATCGAGAATATCCAGGAAAGGGGTAAGGATAGGGATAATCAGAAAGGAGAATGAAGAGGAATGGTCAGAAGGGTTAAGAACAGAAATAGGGTACAGCAGGAGTTAACACCATCATTGTGTTTCTTCAGACTCCGGAAGACACCTCACTGGTTTTTCAGTGACCCTGTACTCAACCCCCCCTTTACTTGGCACTGAGAGTTCAGGCTGGCCCTGTCCTTGCCAGCTCTTTCCAGAGCCAAAAGGCTGAGGCTCATAGTGGCAGCTTTGGCCTCAACCAAAAGAGAGCTAAAGCGGGAGACAGGAATGTGTAAAACTACGTGTGGATAAAGACAACTACATTTAACTATTACAAGTCTGACAACTTGTGATATTATCCTAAAGTTATCAATGACTAGCAATACTAGGGAAAAAATGTGTTTAGGATGATTTTTTTTTTAACCAAGATACGACTAGTAACTGCTTTGCCAGTCATTTTTAGGACAACCCAGATAGGATTAGCCTCCAAGTCCTTCCAAGAATAGACAACCTGGTGTCAAACGACTGCCTTCTTCCTGCTTGGGAGATTTAAAGTGTTCTTTTTATGTCATCTAATTGTACTACTGGGTTTGAGGCAAGACCACAGATGAGTTCGGCAGCCAGGTTTCTACATGTTGGGTCTGGGACAGAGCATGCCTCTCACAGATGTACACAACCAGATACAGAACATGCCTACTGCAGGCCAGCCCGGACAGGTGGGGCACCATGGTGTGCACCTGCAATCCCTGCCACTCGGGACACTGAGGTGGAGACTGCAAGCTCTAGACCGGCCTGGGCAATACAGTGAGACCCCCTCTAAAAAAAAACCAGGTGCAGTAACGCGTTTCTACAGTACCAGTCAAGAGGCTGAGGCAGGAGGATCCTGACACGGTACACTTAGGGACTGGCAGGTGGTATGTTGGCTAAGGTGCTGGATTTCCACATGGCTGACTGTGGTTCTAGTCCTGGACCCAGCGGCATGAAAACCACAACAAATAAACAGATTTTAAAGAAGTAAATGTCTATAAAAAATATTTTATCTAAAAAAATTTTTTAAAGATAAAAGAGGGCCAGGTGGTGCTATGGTGGTGAAAGCAGTTAGATCCCCCATGGCTAAGGCACAATTAAGTCCCAGATGAAGCAGCTTGAAAAACACATCAGCAAAAAAAAAAAAAAAAAAGAAAGAAAGAAAGAAAGAAAAACACACCGGCCTCACTGGAGTGTTTTGTGTCTGCCCCAAGTCCAGAAATATCAGAGATGGAGAAGGGATTGCAGCATGGGAGCTGGAAAGTTCTTTCTCACTTTCCCTGTCTGTCTCTCAAGCAAGCACTTGCACCCTCTAGCAAATATAAAAAGGGGATGAGCAAGAGAAAGGTCAGCGACTCCTAAAAATGGCCACGGTTGCTCATATTGAGAAATACAGTATGACATCTTCTCAAACAAGCTGGAGGAAACCTAGACAAACTACGGTATTGCTCTATCTGTGAGGAACATAGATGTCAGGCACGGAACTAAAATAAAGTGTTTACTTGATCAAACTCACATCCAACCTATTTGTTTTCTGTTGTACTATCAGCGCCTAGAATGGTGGTTGGCAAAAGACAGGCCTCAATGAACACCTGTCTACAAATGAACTTTCACAGTTAAGGAAAGACAGGCTCAAAGGATTAAGTAATAAGCTCAGGTCACACACAGATTTGTTCACCCTCAAGGCCCAGGCACAAAGTAATCATAATTACTGGGACCAGCAGTTAGCGTAATGGCTATGTTACTGGACCCCCCACGTGGTTGAATGCGGTTCGAGTCCTGGACCCGGCAGCTTAAACTCACACTGGGTGCGTGTGCGTGCGTGCCCAAGATCCCAAGAGGAGAATGAAGGAGAAGTGATTGTGGTGTGGCCATCCTCTGTAGGGGGTGATTTCTCGCTTTCTGTCTCTGTCTCTCTCTGTCTTCCTGGCGAGCGAAGGCGCCCTGTAGCCAAAAAAAAAAAAAAAAAAAAAAAAAACACTACTGAATATTCTCTTTTTTTTGAGAGATATTTTGCTATAGGGCATGTGGGTTTGCCAGAGAGACAGACACAAAAAGCGAGAAATCACCCCCAGGGGGGATGGCCACACCACAATCCTTTCTCTTTTCAGGATTCTGGACGTAGACACACACACCTGGCATGAGTGTCAAGCCGCCCGGTCCAGACTCAAACTGCGGTCGATTATGTGGGAGTCCAACAACATAGCCATTATACCATCCGCTGGTTCCAATTACTGACATTTTAAAGATTGCCTATTGTATGAATGCTACAAAACCGGATGGCAAAAAGAAACTGTCTTGTGTAAATCATCTGCTCAGGATGCTTTACTTAATCGTCTTTATGAAACTTTTAGATAATTTAAATATCAGTTGCACAAATTCTAGAGACACAAGACAACTAGCACAATTCAGGCACATGGTAGACTGTTCAATGTCTCCTTCCCTCTCACGAAAAGAAATCAACAGAGGCCAGAAGGTGTGGTGGTGAAGGTGCTGGATCACACATGGCCGACCGTGCAGTTGGGAGTTCCAGACTCAGCAGCCTGAAAAACATGCCAGGTATGCATCCATGCCCCAAATACTGAGAAAAGGCATGACAGGTGGTGCGTGGTTGAGGATGCTGGACTCCTACATGCCTGACCACTATTGGAGTCCTGGACCTGGTGGCTTGCTTTCTCACTTTTCCTCTCTCACACACTCTATTCCTCTCTGGTCAAATTAAAATAAATAAAATTAATAAAAATAATTCTTAAAAAAAAAAAAAAATTCCAGGACCAGCAGTTAGCGTAATGGCAGTCGCTGGACTCCCATGTAGTCGACTGCGGTTCCAGTCCCGGAACCAGTGGCTTAAACTCACACTGGGCACATGTGTGTGCATGCCCAAGATTCTGAGAGGAGAATGGAGGAGAAGAAGGGATTGCGGCATGGCAATCCCCTGTGGGGGGTGATTTCTTACTTTCTGTCTCTCTCTGTCTTTCTGGTGAGCACACATGCCCTATAGCAAAAACCTCTCCAAAAAAAAAAAAATATCCGAAGAGGTAGAATGGAGAAGGGATTATGTCTATCCCTCCTGTCACCCCACTCTCACCCCAGGTTGATTTCTTTTTTGGGGGAGAGTTTTTTTTTTTTTGCTATAGAGCATGTGCGCTCACCAGATAGACAGAGAGAGACAGAGACAGAAAGCGAGAAATCACCCCCCAGAGGGGATGGTCATGCCGCAATCCCTTCTCCTCCATTCTCCTCTTGGGATCTTGGGCACGCACGCACACACGCCCAGCGGGAGTTTAAGCCAGCGGGTCCAGGACTCAAACCATGGTCAACTACATGGGAGTCTAACGACACAGCCATTACGCTAACTGCTGGTCCCACCCCAGGTTGATTTCTAACTTCCTTCTCTGTCTCTATTTGTCTCTCTCCTATGAGTAAAGGTACATACTCTCTGGCAAAAAAAAAAAAAAAATTCTAAAGGGAAAAAAGTAATCAACACAGCATAAGAAAATATTGTGATTTAATACTTTCTTTAAGTTTCTTTTTTTGCCATTGAGCATGTGCACTCACTGGAGCCAGAGTAAGAAATCACCCCCCCACACATACAGACTCAGGAGGGTGCTGCAATCCCTTCTCCTCCATTCTTCTCTCAGGATTTTGGGCACATATGCACACGCACACCTAGCATGATTTTCAAGCCACTAGGTCTGGGACTTGAACTGTAGTCAACCACGTAGGAGTCTAGCACCTTAACCACACCACCTGCTGGCTCAAAAACATATTAATTCAATATCACCCCCTGGCAATTGAGAAGGGAAAAGGTTTCAAACTGAAGGTCTACTATTAATTCCTTTCAGTTGTGTGACATACTACAAGTTGTTTAACATCTAAGTTTCAGATTCTTTATAAAACAGGATTAACAGGGCCTATCACATGGAAATATGATGTAAGAAGATTAAACCATGTCTGGACAATAAGTGCTCAATATGTTAGACTGTACTGTTATGACAATCAGCGCCTTAAGGACGTCTAAGAAAGACTGTTAACTGTGCCCTTCAATTTACACCACGTGGTGGAAAGGGCAAAAGCTATGAAATGACAGATCTGGGTATGAGAAAACTTGTCATCTAACTTTATGATCATGGGCAGGTCAACTCCTATTACAGTTCCCCATTTAAAGTGAGAATGACAAGGTTCAGCCAGGTGGTGTGGAGGTTAAGGTGGCTGGATTCCCACATGGCAGAGTGCTCGGTTTGAGTCCCAGACCAGCAGCTTGAAAAACACTCCTGGCTCCTGTGCCAGCAGGTCCCAAATCCCAAGAGGCGAATGACAGCAACGTGGTCATCCCCTCAAGGGGCGAGTTCTTTTTCTGTCTCTCGGCAATATTAGGGCCCTACGGCAAATTCAATTTATGCAATTACTTTATGTGTGTGTGTGTGTATACACATACAGTAAGTCAGTCAGTCAATGACTCTGGCCTTAAAAAAATAGGGCTGTCGATCTGCATCTTGCTCGGTTTTCTTACCAGCAGGTGGGCCGAGGCACAAAGTACCTAGCACCCACCGAACGGCAGTTACCGCTTCCTTCCCACCGCGGACAGGAAGGAGGAGAGACGGGAAGGGAACAGGGCAAGGGAGTAGCGGCCTGCAGAAATGTTGACAGAGGTGAAGGTTCATGGCCTCCGGGCGTCTCACCAGCGCCACCGGGGGCTCCATGCAGTTCTCTCCCTTGACGAGTGCTGAGTGGCCACTCGGGTTTTCCTGCCTGCAGGTCTCCCCCGCGACTCCGTACCCGGGTCGGAGACACCCTCCACCCCGCTACCGCGTAGCCACAGCGAAGCAAGTGCCTCTGTCCAGGCCCTGGAGCTGCTTCTCAGGCGCTGGAGCCTGCTCTCACCTGTGAGGCTGACACTGGGTCTCAATGTCAGCAGCGCCCGGGGGCCGCGAGCACCCAGGGAAGGCGAGAGGGCGGTGACGCTCAGCTTGCGGGCCAACGACGCCCCTACGACGCCCTCCCTGAGCTGCCCGGCTCCTCTCCCCGCTGCAGCCGGCAGCCGCGGGGTCCCCACAGCCACCAGCAACCAGCGTGTGGAACACCGCACCGCCATCTTGGCCCGGGGACACTGCGCCTGCGCCACCCGGCTCAAGGAGCCTCGCGCAGACGACGCGCGCAGGCGCGCAATGACCGCCGCCTCCGAGGGCGGAGCCCTCTGCATGCGTGCGCGGGGAGGCAAGCGTTGCGCACGCGCACGCGCACGCGCACGCGCACCCGCACGCGCACGCGCACCCGCACGCGCACCCGCACCCGACGCGCCTTTCTGGTAGCGGACGCCGCAGTGGGATTTGCTTTGAAGGCTGCTGTGGGACAGACTTGCCCTGAAGAACTTCGTTGTTCTGTGTTGAACGACCAAGGACTGCACCTATTTGTGTAAGAACATGGTTGAGTGTAGCCAAACAATTTACGCAAGGGTTTCATTGGGGCCGAGACTACAAGTCCCAGCATGCAGCGCGCGGTTCCGTCCTCAACCCCGAGAATCGCATCTTATTTCTTGAATATCACGCGCTCAGTTTTCGTGCGGGTCTACGTCAATCTCCGCCTCTGCTCGCCAAACGGGGTCGCCACCTCATTTCTGGCGGGTTCCCGCCGAGCAAGAGTATGGTCGCTCAACTCTCTTCTAAGCTCGTTAGCCTTTTCCAAATCTCCAGTGAACTTGCCAGCTCAGAATGAGAGCCGAGGTACCCAAAACTAATATAGTAGACCTGCGAGCGCTTAGTCTGTCAGCACGTGCTGCAGTGATGGGGGGGTACAATGATGCAGTATACCCACTGGAGAAGCAAACAGTGAGTGTCAGAAAGAGGCTTGTCAGCAACTAACAATAGGTATAAACAGTTATTGATAGGCACGGTGAGGGAGTGATTCCGTTTCTCCAATGAGGGTTGGATTTTCTAGGCTTCTAAGAGGTAACGTTGGACTTCAGCTTTGATGGTCAGGTGTTATTACAATGTTCCAAGTAGTAAGAACTTCAAAAGCAAACCTCCAGAGACATTCTGTAAACACTAGTGGGGTGCGTGACTGCCGATGAGGCTAGAAATCTTGCGAAGGAGTTACCTTTCATACTCCTGCCGCTGCCAACCCCACCTCCCGCAAGCAATAGGGATGAACCTGCTGGGACTGTATAGAAGGCCCAGATTTGGATCCCAGGCCAACAGAAACATGGCAGACATGGGACCAGCAGATAGCATAATGGTTAAGTTGTTGGACTCCCACGTAGTAGTCAACTGCGGTTTGAGTCCTGGACCTGGTGACTTAAAACTCAGGCTAGGCATGTGTGTGTGTGCACGCCCAAAATCATGAGAGGAGAATGGAAGAGAAGGGATAGTGGTGGGCCATCTCCCTGGAGGGCAATTTCTCACTTTCTGTCTCTCTGGTGAGCACACACGCTCTATAGAAAAACTCTCTCAAAAATCTCTCTCTTAGAAAAGAAACGTGCCAGACACTGCAGGCACAACCCAAAGAACAACGTCCTCCTGTGATCTTAGCTAGCTGGGAGGCTGGGTTGGGAGGATTGCAGCGTGGCGAAACCTTCTCAGGATACCTATTTCTCTGTCCTTTCTCCCTTTCATTAAAACAGTATTGGGGGCCAGCAGGTAGTATGGTTCTTAAGGCATTGGATTCCCTCATGGCCAGCGTGATTTGAGTCCCAGACCTGGTGGCTGGAAAATCACACCAGGCTCACGTCTATGCATGACCAAAATCCCAAGAGAAGGGATTGTGGAGTAGCCATCACCCCTCCAGGAGGTGATTTCTCACTTTCCCTCTCTCTGTCTCTGGCAAGTACACATGCCGCACAACAAAATCCTAAAAAAAAGAGAAGAATATGGGCTCTGGAGTCAGAGTGCCTAGGATTGAACCCCAGCTGTGTCACTTACTAGCTGTGTCTTTTTTTTTTTTTTCTTTTTTGGAGAAACTTTTGCTATAGAGTGCATGCACTTGCTGGAACAACAGCGAGAAAAATGAGAAATCACCCCCCGGGGAGGATGGCCATGCCACATTCTCCCCTCAGGATTTTGGGCATGCTGCACACATGCTGCCTGGCATGATTTTTAAGCCACCAAGTCTAAGACTCGAACTGTGGTCAGGTAACTATATGAGAGTCCAGCAACATAACCATTACACCACCTGCCGGTCCCAGCAGCTGTGAGTCCTTGAGCAACGCACTTCACTTCTCTGTGACTCCGTTTTCTTTTCTCTAAAATGGCGTGCCTACGTCAGAGGATCATGTGAGATGTTAAGAGGTCTGTATAGAGTCGTCATACCGTACTGGGCACATGGTGAGGGACAGTGCACGAATCCTGAGTGCCAGGCTATGCTAGGCACTGAGAATGCCGTGGAGAACTCAGTTACTTGCCCACAGGGAGCCGAAACCTGGGAGAAAAGGGCTGAGAGGAAACTCGTTGTGAAGTACAAATTTCAAGAATAAAAGCTGGGAACAAGAGCCGAAGGGACTTCAGTTTACCACCTCCCAGTGAGTTAGGAACTAGAGGAGGACTCGGTAGTACGGAACTTTGTCAGCTTTGTAATGTCCTCAGTTTGGGTATTTTAGTTTATCCCCCATCAGTTTCCTCATAGCAATGAACAACAAAAGTCTTCCACATTGGAAGGGAGTGTATGTTCTCATTTTAGGGGATGGAAGACAAGCTACTTGTTAGGGAGCCCATATTTTCTGTCAGGATGTGGAGAACCCCGAAGTAGTGGAGTAAGCAATGGTGGCTACTAAAGGAAATAAAAAGTCTTTGGGATCTGTCCCATGAAAGAAAGAAAAGTGGGACCGGACCAGCAGGTGGAGAGGTGGTTAAAGTGCTGGACTCCCACATGGCTGACCCTGGTTTGAGTCCCGGACCTGGTGGCTTGCCTTCTCACTTTCTCTCTCTCTCTCTGGTCAAATTAAAATAAATGAATGAATATATAAAATTAAATAATTATTAAAAAAAGAAAAGCGGGGCCAACAGATGGTATAGTGGTTAAGTTGCTGGACTTCCACATGGCCAACTGTGGTTCAAGCCCCAGACCCAGTGGTTTGAAACTCAAGCTAGGCACATGTGCGTGCATGCCCAAAATCCCAAGAAGAAAATGGAGGAGAAGGGATTGCTGTGTGGCCATCCCTCTGGTGATTTCTCACTTTCTCTCTCCATCTCTGTCTCTCTGGTGAGCACATGTGCCCTTTAGCAAAAGAAAAAAATCTCAAAAGGAGGGAAAGAAGGAAGGAACGAGTGGGAAAGACCTCCTGGTGAGAGTAGCCTAGACATGGTTTCTTTCTCTGCTAGCTGGTATAGAGAAGCAGGGGCCAGATGTGGTGAAGCAGTAGAATGTGGCATTCTGCAAGGCTTACCCACATGGGAAGATTCTGTGTGGGCATCCAGAGATGTCCCTAGTACATCAGGCACATGTCTTCCCATGATCCAGGACTGACTGGAGCTGAGGATGGATTGAAATGTCAAGTCCCCATTGGAGGTGCTATCTCTCACATGGAAGATATAAATGAACGTTAAAAACATACACAGCAGGGACCAGCAGTTGGCGTAATGGCAATGTTGCTAAACTCCTGTGTAGTTGACCGCAGTTCAAGTCCCGGACCTGGTGGCTTAAACTCACGCCGGGCACATGTGCATGGGTGCCCAAGATCCTGAGAGGAGAATGGAGGAGGAGGGATTGCAGCGTGGCCCTCTCCCTGGGGGGTGATTTCTCGCTTTCTGTCTCTCTGTCTCTCTCTGTCTTTCTGGAGAGCGCACACGCCCTATAGCAA